ACATCGAGCACGTGCGTGCGTTCCATTATGAAGTGAGGGGCCCATCTCATCGCCTTCATCGTAAGCTACCCTCTGACCGCAAAAGTCAAGAGATCAGACGGTGCTGATTGGTTTCTCAAGAACGTGCGTATCCAAAACTACGGTGTTACCGGGGAGTACCATAATATCTAAAATCATATGCATTCTGTCAAAGGAACAGCGAATAGATTCTTCACCTAACGACAGGAGAAATTAAAAAATTCCAAACCATGTGTTTTGCTTAAATTAAACATAACAAATTAATAATTAATTAGCCCAAATCTCCAAATTTGAAGTTAAATCTTTTATTAATCTCCAAATTATTGCGTTAATTTGGTTTTAATTGAGTTTAATTAGTTTACAAGCTTAATTTTATGTATAAGATTATTCAATTGAAGAAAATATTTGAGAGTGGGCTCCTTGGAAGTTTAATATTAAGTGGGCCAATTTTTGTATTATTGTATAATGGCTGGGTAAAAAAAAAGATTAGCAAATTTTGAAGGGCAAAAAAGGGATTTAACAAGTTTAGATTCTTTTTTAATTTTTAAATCCTATAATATATATATATATATATATTTGAAAATTGTTAAGTTAGAAAGTATGGACATGGAAATAAAAGGAAAAAAAAAATGTTATTTTAAAAATTATTTAAAAAAAAAACAACGTTAAACCCTGATAATAACGATAATAATAATAGTAATAGTAAGAAAATTTGATGCGAAAGTTTTTTTATTTATTTATTAAATTTCATACGTTTTAAGGAAAAAAAAAATAATAGAAAGTTAGAGTTACGTATCATTCGAATATGGTACAGACATAACGTAATTGAGAGACTTTTTGATAAAATTTTTAATTCTCTGATTCATTTTTTCTCTCTATGTAATTTTTACGCACAAAAATAAAAAAATAAAAATATTAGTTGATGGAAGACTCAAACGAAAGAAGAATTCATGCTCTTTTTATATACGAGAGAATATGTCGAAACACATTCATCATCATAACTAAATGTATTGATAACCGTTTCTATTATCATAGTTTAGTTATCATAAAATACAATAATTTTATAATTTATTTTAAAGTTGCTCGTTCTGTAAAAATATTTTTTTTTCTTTTATAACAGTTATCGATTATTTTATGTGTCATTTCAGTTTGTTTCAACCCGTTGTGAGTTGATGAAAAATATAAAATATCAGTTTAGTGGGTCATCTACTAAATTATTAAAATTAA